GGGAAAGCAGTCTCTCCCCAAAATGTGAAGGATTCTCAAATCCACCAATGCAAATTGTTTATTGCAAATGTTCTCTTTGTCAGTGCTTCCCGAACTTTCATGTGTTTGTGAGCCATCTGGAGATGTTGGAATGCAGCTTTTAATTCAGTAAATCTAAGGTTAGGCCTGAGATTCCACAGCATGCATGCGATGTAAAGCTGCCAGTCTGAGGACACTTTGAGTAGCAAAACTCTAGAGCAAAATTTTTCAAATTTAGTTGCATATTGGAGTAACTTGAAAAACACTTCTAAAAAAAATAATGTATATACTTTAAAGATTTTATTTATTTATTCAAGAGAGACAGAGAGAGAGAGAGAGAGAGAGAGAGGCAGACATTGGCAGAGGGAGAAGCAGGCTCCATCCCACGACTCCAGGATCATGCCCTGAGCCAAAGGCAGATGCTTAACCACTGAGCCACCCAGGCATGCCTTAAAAACTAATATTGATTGGATCTTGCCCTCAGCTGATTTAAATTGGTCTAGGGTAAGGCCTGGGAATACAAACTTTTAAAAGTCTTCAGATGATTACAATGTACTCAGATTGCATCTTGCACTTCAGGCTTCAATTTCTTGTCACTTTTCCAGATTATCTCTTTTCTCCAAATTCCCATATTTCCACTTTTCCAGCTTTGCATGGTTTCCCCTTCAAATTCAATTACTCTCACTTATTATGCAGAACAATTTGACACTCTACCCCTTAGGTCCTTGGACCTAATTTTGCATATACAAAGATTTAAAAAGTTTTCCTAGTCCAGCCCTTTTCAAAAGTATATAACTTTGTTGCTATGGAAGAGTGTGATGTGAAGTGATCTGTGGACAGTGTTTTTAAGTTTTAATACTTATATGCCTATATTTTAATGTGAATTGCTGAAAAAAAGTAACACAATAAATGTTATTTCATAAATACTACTGCTTAGGACAATGAGTCATTTTTGTAAAATTAGGTAAATAATATAAAGATTCGAAGCAGATACAAAAGTCTTGGGATCCCTGGGTGGCGCAGCGGTTTAGCTCCTGCCTTTGGCTCAGGGCGTGATCCTGGAGACCCGGGATCGAATCCCACGTCGGGCTCCCGGTGCATGGAGCCTGCTTCTCCTCCCTCTGCCTGTGTCTCTGCCTCTCTCTCTCTCTCTCTCTCTCTCTCTCTCTCTCTCTCTCTCTCTCTCTCCCCCTCCCCCCGTCTCTCATAAATAAATAAAATCTTTAAAAAAAAATCTTGAAAATGGTTTGTAAATGAATGAAGTTTGAAAGTGCTTATCCTAATTATAAGCCTTCTATTAAAAATCCCAGGCTTTAGGGACACCTGGGTGGCTTAGCGGTTGAGTGTCTGCCTTCCGCTCAGGGTGTGATCCTAGAGTTCTGGGATCGAGTCCCACATTGGGATCCCTGCATGGAGTCTGCTTCTCCCTCTGCCTGTGTCTCTGCCTTTCTCTGTGTCTTCTATGAACAAATAAATAAAATCTTAAAAAAAAAAAAAATCCCAGGCTTTAGGAATACAAAAGAACTGGCAGGGGAGTTAATAGCAGCCTTTCTTTCTTTCCCTTCTCTTCCAATCTCTGGAGGATAAGGAAGCAATGTAGATTTATTTCTGAATTTATGAATTATGCTACCAGTCTTAATACATTGAAATGGCTACTGATTTCAATAATGGCTACAGATCTTAAAATAATAACATTTCTTCTCCTATTAAGTGAAGATTTCATAAAGCTTCAAGGAAATACCACTAACATTTGAAAAAGTCATAATTTAAGACAAAAATAACTATAAGAATTGAAAATAGGTTAAATCCTTTAACCAGTTAATCTTTGACAATGGGTGAAATTTTTTAGGATTGTGGAAAGCCAATCCACAAACCCACAAAGCCAAAAAACTCCTAAACAGAAGAAATTTTTCAAACTGCCCTAGTGACATCATTGTGAACTTTTTAGAACACCAAAACAAAATAGATCTTAACCAGGAGTATATTAACAGATTTCTCAGTAGCAACAGAAACTAGAAGATAATAGAATATGTTCAATATTCTGAGGAAAAAAAGACAACTGTAAACTTAGAATTATATATGCAGTAGAATTATCTTCGATGATCAAGAGCAAAATAAAAGCATTTTGGCGGGGGGTGGGGGGACCGGAATCTGGGCACTTGCCACATCACACTCCCATTAAAGTAAACTCTGTAAATTTACTTTAGGCACAACGAAAATAATCCAGAAAGACTATTTGAAATATGTAAAGAAATGGTAAGCAAAATATTCTTACAAATGTTGTTGGTCTAAAAAATATGTCTAATTTATGGAACGGAAAGAGGATAAAATTAAGTAATGAATAATAACAATATTTTATAAATTTGGAGGGTTAGAGTTTAAAACATCCCAAGAGGGGCGCCTGGGTGGCCCAGTCTGTTAAGTGTCTGCCTTTGGTTGAGGTCATGATCTCAGGTTCCTGGGATTAAGCCCCCTCTTGGTCTCTCTGCTCAGCCAGGAGTCTGCTTCTCCCTGTCTCTCTGTCCCTCCCTGCCCCCCACTCCCGCCCTGGCTTGTACTGCTTGTTCTCATTCTGTCTCTCTCAAATAAATAAGTACAATCTAAAAAAACAAAAAAACAAAACAAACAAACAAAAAAAGAACCAAAAAACAAAAATCCTAAAAGCTTTAAAATTATTTGAGGTGAGTAGACACATTTATTAGTTTTAGTTTTAAGTTTACATGTTAACATAGTAAAATCGCCTTAAAATATAGAGTGTATTGCTCTGAATAAGTAAACAGTTTTTTAATCTTTTTCGTTGTGAGTGTATCTTGCAGAGTCCGTTCTTAGGAGTATCCTGTTGAACCTTTCATGAAAACATCCCTCCAGGTTGGTTTTATGTTTGTTTCTGCAAGGCAATCCAGATCCTTTATCTGAGATCTTCTGGGGGAGGAGGAAGGGGTTGGGGAATCAATTTCTAGGTTTTGAGATTTTAACAACATGTACGTGTTAAAAATTAAACTCCAAACTCTTATGAGATGCAGGCAATAGGGTTTCAAAATTTCACTGAAGTTTTTTTCTTTTCATCCAGAAATGAAACAAGCTTCCTCATCTACTGGGTGTTTTGTATTTCCCCTAATCTACCCTTTTCCTGAGGATGTCTTTCAGGGACAATGGTTTTCTGTAATATACTCAGCTCCAACTCCCACCTGGAGACACTTCAAACCCTTATTTCCTGCCTGTACACTTCCTTGTCTCAAGTTACAGACTAACAACCTCTTGCCCACACTTCGGATGACCGCCTATCCTGGTTTGCCGGAGACCTGGTTCTCTGGGGGTTGGGGTTTTTTTTTTCCGTGCTAAAACCAGGGAAGTCCAGGGCAAACTAGTTGATTGGACATCTTACACCCCAGCCCCTCATATCTAGGGCTAGAGAAGAGTCACTTTAAGAATACTCTGGTTTTCAGTTTGATTTCTGGCATCTTGCGATTTCCCTTCATTTCTTAGGGGTTTAGCTGAATATTAAAAATAAGGTCAGTATTTTACCCAGTAATACTAGGTGTTGGTAGTGATAAAGCTTTCAGATTAAGGAAGTCCACCACTGTTCCAGCTCAAAAAGTAACATTTAAATGCTTTTCATCAATACAAAAGTGAAGTTTGAGGATTAAAGTCGTAGCCGGTTACCCTCCGTGAGGAAAGAACGCTGCAGTGGTTCCCAAAGTTGCGTGATTTGCTCCACCAACTGCCCTACAGCTCACCCTTGCTCTAGGCCTTGTTTCTCAGACCTTGAGAATGTTCTAGAATTCTCTAAGCAAGCCTCGTTTCCTCCGCTAAGGCCTAGAAAATAAACGCTCGCCCTCACACTCTGAACTCCCTGAGGGAAGAAATGTCTGCCTATTTTCTCGAATCCTGTATCTACCGTATCTGGCTGTTGTCACTCTACTACCACCGACATGTTTCTTCAACTAGTGAATGCCCTGAACGCTAATTTGGTCGGCCCCATCCGAGGTTTCTTCTAATCCAACCCCATCTACCTCAAACTTGACAGAAAGTCTCCCAAGTGTGTGGATTTTGGGGGGTCTCCTTCCCCGTTGTCTACAGACTTGGTTCTATTTTCTATTTCCGCAGGCATTTAATTGATTTTGGAGGCGATGATAGGGATAGTCGTGATCGGGCTAATCCTACGTGTTCGGGGCGCCATTTTGAAGCTAGAGCCTGGACACATTACATTCTTCTTTTAACTTTAACCTACATTTAAGGATGCATCCTCATTCCAAGTGCGCCCCAAAGGCATTTTCGGGGTGATGCCTACGGCGGGGTGTGTGTGAGGGTGGTCTTGTCAGTCTGTCCACCCCACGGCCATACCTCCCGGGCCGCGGAGCGCCGGCCCGCGCGCACCCCCTGCATACCCCCCGCTCGGGGAGCGGGCGTCCCCCCAACCCCCCCGCAGGGGCGGGGGGCTGCCACCCATTGGCTGAGGCGTCTACCACGAGCCCCAGGACCCTGCGCAGGAGCCACCTCCCGGAGCCCCGCGGGCCACGGCCACGCCTCAGTTCGCCAGCACCCCTCAGCCTCGCCGCTCCGCTGCACGGCTCCTCCGCCTCGCCTCGCCTCGCCTCGCCTCGCCTCGCCTCGCCGCTCGCCTCTGCCTCCCCTTAGTCCTCTGACGTCTCTCGCTTTGCCCAGCCGAAGCCGGGCAGCGGCACGAGCAGAGCCAGCAGCAGCCCCTCGGGTGGTGCCGGAAGCGCGGCCTCCACTCCCCCTCGAGCCGCATCAGCGGGAACTGCTAGCTGCCGCCATCATGGTGAGTGGAGGAGGAGGCCTGAGGGGCCCACGCCGGGGCCAGTCTCCCCGGGGGGCGGAAACGCGGCTTTGGCGGCGCGGCGCAGGGGTGGGGGGGCTGACAGCGGGGCCACCCCGCTCCCCTGTCCCGGGGTGCACGGCAGACGTGGCCTGAGAGAAGGGCGAGGCGGCCCGGCCCGGAGGGGTGGCGGAGGGGCGGGATGCCGGCGGGTGTGGGGGGGGCGCGGCCCTCAGGACCTGCTGCCCCTCCGCCGGCGACCACGTGTAGGGCCGCGGCCTTCACACCGCCCCGCCTGCCTCCCGGTGCCACCGACTGGGTGGCGGGGCAGCCCGCGGGGGGCCGCCGGGACTGGGGGGGAGAACCGCGCGCCCGCCCCGCCCCGCCCCCACCCTCAGGCCTCCCTTCCCGCGCTCACCCTGTGGAGAGGAGGCAGCGCGTCTCCCGCGTCATGGCGTCGGGCCGCCGCTCCGAACGCCGGCCGGCGCGGGCTCTGCGGAACTCGGCTGCTGCCTTGGAGGGCCAGAGTTGCCCCCGCTGGTGGTTCCTTCCCGGCCCTCGGACGCGGGGAAGCGGGCGTCGGGCCGGGACTGGAGCGCTTCGGCGGCGGCCGCTCGCGCCGGACCCGGCGTCGGGGGCGGCCTCGGGCGGACGGGCCAGGCCGCCCGACGCCGTCGTGGCCGCGCGCTCCGAGCCGCCCGCGCTGCTGCCTCGTACTGGGTGGGGGAGCACCTTTCGCCCCTAGACAAACCAGACGCGCAGACCGTAATATTTCCTCTCCGCGGTGTGCGTTTCTGTGAGTTTGGGTAAATGGAGCGTTGATTCACCGCGGGCTTCAGCTCTGAGCACTTCTGACCCAACCTTTCGTCACAGATGTTTTTAGACTCTATGTGGATTTATACCATCATTAGGATTCTTCAATTTCAGAACTAAAGGGAGGAAATTTAGTTTATATTACCACATATAAATACTAAAAATATAACTATGCGTAATATTCTCTAATACTTATTTGCGTTGTCATCCTTGTTACTGATTAATTATTAATCACCGAGTTACTCTGAAAAATCCTAATATTTTTTTCTCTCCGTTTTTAGAGGAAAAGAGGGGAAATGCGAATAGCTTTTTTTCCCCCTGATTATAACAGCGTATTAACTCATTTTTATTTTATTTTAACTCCGTTTCATTTTAAGAAGCCTGGTCCGTCCCAGCACCTTTAACCACTGTTCAACAAGTGTTTTTGCTGTATGTGTGCCCTCCCAGGTAGTTTTTTATGAATGTACTGCACGTAGAGAGGGGAACTTTATTTTATAGAACTTGTGCCATGCCACATAATAGTATTTTATTATATTCCCTGTGTCTTTCACCTAATAAATATGGTGGACCTTATTTCAAATATAAATTAAGTTTTGTGACTTCAAATACATAGTGTTAAGACTATATCATTACTTATTTTATCAAATTCTCTTATAATGAGTACCTTTTCTGCATAAAACAATACTGTAGTAAGTATATTTGTCCGATGTTTTGACATGCTTATTCCATTGATCACTGAAATTAATTGCCAGCAATGGAAACAGCTAAACTGGGTGGGTGTGGAGAGTTATGCCCATTTTATAACAATTTTAAATTGTAGTATATCTTTCCAAGTTAGTCTTAATGGAACCAGGTTACCAGTATGTTTTCCCACTGTATGTAGAGTGAGCTCTTCTCCACGTTCTTTCGATAATTTTTAAAGTTGCCAATCTAATAGCTGGAAAATACGTTTTGATGTGCCTTTTTTTTTTATCTTTAATGAAGTTGAAGTCGTTAGCTTTCAAAAAAATTTTTAATAGATTTTTAATGCACCTTTCTATTTGGATGTTTATCTTTTTAAAGGATTTATAAAAACTATTAATTCCTCACTTATAGTGGTAAAAAAGAATTGGCTTTATTCTCTAATTTCAGTGGAATGGCTGTTTCATTTTAAGCCTGATGTTAGCTTAAGATTTCTTCAACAAAGAAGATTCTTCCATTTTACTTAGGTTTAAGTGAATGCTGCTTAAGTGAATTGTATTTAAAAAATGCATTGCTATATTTTTAAAATTAAGTGAATGCTGTATTTTTTAAAATGCTTTTTTCATTAAGGTGAATTACAGTTACAGATTTCCTGAGAATGAACCATCCTTGAGTTTTCAGTATAAACTGTTAATTAATATGTTTTTAAAATCCTGCTGGAATTTTACATCTCTGTGTTAGGGACAGAGGTGAACTATTAGCTTTTGATTAGGTTTTATTATTTAGGTGTTGGTTTTGTAAAATGGAATTTTTTTCAATTACGGTGTCTGAATTCTTTATTTTTTATTTTATTTAATTTTATTTTTTTAATTTAATTTTTTATTTTATTGTATTTTATTTTAGTGATTTCTACACCTAGCCTAGGGCTCAAACTCACAACCCGGAGATTAAGAATGTCTGCCACTGAGCTAGCCAAGTACCCCTGAATTTTCTTTCTCCTATGCTCTTTCTTCTGTCTGCCCTTGTTTCTGTGTTGGTGTCCTCCATACACACCCCCTACACGTGCACCAGTTACATTACAGCTTGAAAAAAACTCCTAGTGAAACTGAGCTAAAAATCAAATATTCTTTCCTTTCCTAAGACTTTTTTTTTTAATTTTTATTTATTTATGATGGGCACACAGTGAGAGAGAGGCAGAGACACAGGCAGAGGGAGAAGCAGGCTCCATGCACCGGGAGCCCGACGTGGGATTCGATCCCGGGTCTCCAGGATCGCGCCCTGGGCCAAAGGCAGGCGCCAAACCGCTGCGCCACCCAGGGATCCCCCTTTCCTAAGATTTTTAAAAATTGACTTTTTTCTAGAAAGCTGGCCATTTCATCGAGATTTCCGTATTTATTTCTAGAGACTTTATACATCACATTCTCCTATAATATGGGGTCATACACCTTTTTAAAAAGACAAATGTAGATTTTTGCTTTCTTGTCCTTTTTCTTGCTTAGCTTTGTTTATTGTGTGGATTTTTTCCCCCTAAGAGTCCACTCTTGGATTTACTTACGAGGTTTTATTCTGATTTTCATTTCCTAGTTCACTTTAGCATCTTTGTCTTTTTTTTTTTTTTTAAGATTTTATTTATTTATTCATGAGAGATAAACAGAGAGCGGCAGAGACACAGGCAGAGGGAGAAGCAGGATCCCTGCAAGGATCCCAGTACGAGACTTGATCCTGGAGCCCCGGGATCATGCCCTAAGCCAGAGGCAGATGCTCAACCCAGGTGTCCCAGCCTTTTTATTAGCTACTTCTGTGGATAGAACTCTGATGACTACAAATTATAGACCTTTTTGTAGTCAGTTCTAGATCTTAGATTACTTGCATGTAGATACAATAGTTGAATGAAATAATGTTAAAGAGCTGACGTCCCAAGAACTTTAGTGATTTTTTCCAGCTTTTTTGTTTATTTTTGTTATTATTAAAGTATAACAGGGAAAATATTACTGTAAATAGTAGTGATAAGATTGTGTACATAATGGCCTCCATGTTCTCCCCTACTTAAGATCCTAGCATTACTCATCTCAAAACCCACCAACTCATTTCAACTCATTTTGAAGGTATATACAAAAAATAATTACTTCTTATATTTAATTTACGTGAAACTTTCTGTATACTATTGATGGTTAATATTAATACTTGAACATCAACTTTTTTACTTTAGTCTATGCATTTATTTATGGAGTATTTTTAGCAATAGTTTAAAAGTATTAAAGGTTGTTTTTTGGTTACAGATGTTGTATATGTAAATTATAACTACATGTAAGTATACACTAGAAGCTTAATTCCTGATCAGTCTTGTTAAAATGGAGTACTTTGCTTACTTTGTTAGCTTTGAGTGCCACCTGCTGGTTGAGGACTAAGACAGGATAGTGCCTTAAGATATTAAGACACTCGTAAAATGATTTGATGAATATTATATTTAATATCTCAATTAACCAAGCAGTAAATATCAAAATCCCAAACCAAAACAAACTTCCTATAATATATAATGGCCTTTACCCTCCCTCAATTATTGCTTAGTGTCTCAAGTATCCATTTTATTTCTGTAAATAGAATATGAGAATTAGAACTTCGCTTTTTGATTCTAGATACTATTACAGGTTTCTCAACTGTGACTCTGTTGATATTTTGGGACACGTAATTTCTTGTTGTGGGATGCTGCTTTTGCATTAAAGGATTTTTACCATATCCTTGGCCTCTACCACCAGATACAAGGAGTACCCCTTAGGTGTGACAACCAGAAATGTTCCTGGACCACAGAATCTCCCTGGGTTGAGAAATAATACATTATAATAACGTCTTATAATCTGGCACAGTTTTCTTTCTTTTTTTTTTTTCTGGCACAGTTTTCTGGCCTGATGTTACACTTCTGAATTAAAGTACATTCATCCATTGTTCACAGACAGATAATACTAAATAGCTTGTCAAAAAGAAAGCTTTCCAAAGTTCATCCACAAATGAAGGGGAAATTGAGAAAGAGAAAAAACTATAAGAATTTCAGAACCACTGTTCTGTTCTATTTGTTTTGAACTTTTGAAAGAGCTAACTAGAAAGGATTGGTAAGTTTTATAGTGAAGAGAAATCTAGTCAAGTTTCAATAGTTCAAGATGCCTGGCTTATGTAATAATAGACCCATGTAGAAACACTAAAATTAGAAAACTAAGAAAAAAAGATAAAGCTTCAGAAAGATATTTTTATACTACTTTGTTGTCATGAAATATTACTATGCTATAGTTACAGAAAAGAATCAGGAAGTACGGTTACTCTTAAACAATGCAGGGATTAGGGACACTGACTCACCCTCCCTCCACACACATTCAAAAGTTGGCATATAACTTTTGACTTTCCCCAAAAGTTAACTGCTAGTAGCTCACTGTTGACTGGAAACCTTACTGGTAACATAAACCATTGATAAACACAATTTGTATGTTATTTGGATTATATACTGTATTCTTATAATAAAGTAAACTACAGGGAAAAATGTGATTAAGAAAATCCTAAGGAAGGGAAAAATGCATTTACAGTACTGTATTGTAGTTTTAAAAATATATCTGTTAATTAGAGGACCTGGGCAGTTCAGATCCTTGTTTTCAAGGGTCAGTTGTATGTACACAAATTAATAAGAGAAAAAACAAAACACATTTGGTGATTGACAGTTTTGATTTCATCTCGAATTAGTATAACAGTTTGTAGAATTTTAAATTAACCAGTAACTTCTAGTATCTAACAAAATAGGAATTCTATCTACCTTAGTATCGTTACTAATTTCTATAAAAATTACTGTGCTCGCTTTTTAAAAAGTAGGTATCAGTTGGTTTCTTTCGTCTTTGTTTTTCTGTATAAGAGGAACTGTAATAGGTTTCTCTCTCTTGCAACGGTTCATATTTCCCTCTTAGAACCAATAAACCCTTCATAAATGAATTCCAAGTAAGTGGATGTGCCATAAACTAGTTCCTTGAAGTTCCAAATGAAATTAGTTGTTAATAATAAAATATCTACAAAATAAATAAGCAAATGGTAGAACCAGGGAAGAAACTTTTTAATCTATTGAAAATAAATTCAAATAACAGGACACTAACTTATATTTGCATTTCACATTATACTTTACAAAATGAATTCACAGATGTTATTTCACTTCTTTCTCAAAGCAATATTCCCAGATATAAACAGCTGCCAAGTAAGTGGCTTATAATCTAGTGAGGGACATGAACCTAGATCTGACTAAATTTTTGTTTCACTATGCTATACTACTTTTCCAACATATATATGTTACCAGTAAATTTTGCTTCAGAAAAGTTTACATTAATCTTAGAATGGAAGGACTTAAGATAGAGTTCTGAACCAGAATCCAGAAAAATAATGAGTTTCACATGTGAGTCTCTTTATCTGAAAATAAAGATAGTACCATTTATTTCTATCAGCCCACTGTGAAAATTAGAATTATCAGTTGGATTGATCTGGTATTACTGAAGAAGGAAAATGTTATTTCAAAAGATACTTTGAACATACTAGAGGAAAGGATTATAAGCCTTTTTTAGCAGGACCTATGGTATGTGAGCAAATAATGTTTTCATGACCATTTCCAAAGTAAATGCATACTAACACATGGAGTATTTAATTATAAAATCCATGTTAATTTTGGTGACTAGAAAGAGGAGGCAAAGCAAATTGGTTTAAAGCTTTGATGTGTGTTTTTGATGCAATTTTTTTTAAAGTTCATTTATCTTTTTCAAAGATTTCCCATGATTTTTAATAAGGTATTCAGTGAAGTGAAAATTTGCTTACTGGCATATAACAGGATGACTTTAATAACAATTTTTACAAATCTGAACTTTCCCGTTCACGAACTCAGTATAAAGTCAGTATTCTACTTTAAGATATGATGATGAGCAACGCTGAGTTTAAGAAGGTACTATAACCTTTTGTTAAAATTTCGTGCTGATCTATTCTAATTATTTTGTTTGTGGGTGGGGGTGAGAAGGGGCAGAGGGAGAGAAAAATCTTAAGCAGACTCCACAACCAGCATAGAGCTGACATGGGGCTCAAGCTCATGACCCCTGAGGTTATGACCTTAACCCACTGAACAACCCAGGTACCCCTGGTCTGATTATTTTTAATCCTAAACCTGAACTAATCTTAATCTGTACTGCTGGCCAATTTACTATTAAAGTAATTTTGTACTTTAAATACAAAGTGTATATTTCACATCATGTGTGGTTTTTACATGAGTATCTAGTGATGATAACTACTTTCCAAATTACAGTCTGCTGCAAATCCCGAGACTCCAAACTCAACCATCTCCAGAGAGGCCAGCACTCAGTCCTCATCAGCTACAACCAGCCAAGGCTATGTTTTACCAGAAGGCAAAATCATGCCAAACACCGTTTTTGTTGGTGGAATTGATGTTAGGGTATTGTATTTCTATTTCATTTATTTAAAAAAATATTTAGTAAATTATGGGATTTGGGCTCTGTTGTAAACTTAAGGTTTTTTTTTTGGTGCTTCATGTAGATTTGGAATTGGTTTTCAACCTATAGAGACCACAAGTATCTTTGACAAAGATCTACAGGTGGTTTGGGGATACTTAGGGGAGATATTTCCTCATCTTCAAATCTTTAGAGTGTAATTGAAAATTTTGAATGCTGAATTTTTACGCTTGAAGTCAAATTCTTCCCTGTAGATGGATGAAACCGAAATTAGAAGTTTCTTTGCTAGATATGGTTCAGTAAAAGAAGTGAAGATAATCACGGATCGAACTGGTGTGTCCAAAGGGTGAGTAAAACATGTTTGGTATGAATGAAGTATTAAAAACATCTGAGCTCTAGTATCTTTATAGAGTAACATAAAAAAAGAATTCAAAATTTGTTTTCTTATATTTGTATAAATTTGTTGCTTTGTTCCTTTCGTATATAGGATAACAGTTGGCTATCAGCTCTTCTATTTAGTCATTTTCATAGTGTTTGTATATAAACATTTCCCATTTTCGTTTATTTTACTTAAGTGGATTAATCAGTTTTATCAAAGTTGTTTTCTTCATGTATTATACAGTATCTTAAATTTTAACCATCTTACCTTAGGTAATAAATTCAGGTTCATAGATACGAATTTTCTATTAACAAATGATGTCCCACACTATTTTAATCCTCACACATTCTGACATAGATTGGGGAAGAAAATAAAAAGCAGTAAAATTTATAGAGGATCAATCGTGTACATCTAACAAATCTTTACCTCAGTATATTCTTCATTCTTTATCATTATCACTTCTGTCAATTATTTCATGGAATACTAGAAAAGTTTTATACTGTTACAGTGTTGATTTTTATACATTATCTGTCTTTCTAGCTATGGATTTGTTTCATTTTATAATGATGTGGATGTGCAGAAGATAGTAGAAGTAAGTAATCTTATGGCAAAGTCTCCCTCAGTTTAAGGATGCAATGTTTAGTGTTGTTTGAGTCCTGAATATATATAGCCTTGTATAAAATATAGAAATAAACTTCTTGTTTGAAATCCAAACCTAGAGGAATCTTGTAACTTGTCAGACCTGTTTATTTCTAATTGGACATCTGGCTTCATGACCTAGAGACAGGAAAGGTTTCAGACAGTGTAAAGGTTTTTGATCAAATTCCAAGACTCCTTTCAGTACTTGAGTGGTGAGGTTAAGGTAGCTTCGTGCTGATAAATTCTGATTTAGTATGTGCTTATTATTGATCCTCTCTGATGGTAGAAATTTTAGAAGATTGGAATGTTTACCAAAGTCTTGGAAGTGAAGACTTTGAAAGTGAATTTAATTTTATTTTATTGCTTTATTTTCAGTCACAGATAAATTTCCATGGTAAAAAGCTGAAACTGGGACCTGCAATCAGGAAACAAAATTTATGTGAGTAAAGAGAAGAATTGTTTTTGTTGACATGTGTAGCTTTTCAAAAAACTAAAAGTGGGCATTGTTTTTGTTTTATTCTTTAAAAAAGGTGCTTATCATGTGCAGCCTCGTCCTTTGGTTTTTAATCCTCCTCCTCCACCACAGTTTCAGAGTGTCTGGAGTAATCCAAACACAGAAACTTACATGCAGCCTCCAACCATGATGAATCCTATAACTCAGTATGTTCAGGTAAGAATTTTTTTTTTAATTAGTACTGGAGACTTTATTGATATGGACACCTTAAAAATGAGTCAGTCTCACTTTTTACTCTCTGTGACATAAATTGTAGAATTTCCGTAATAGTGATAATACTGTCTCTTTTTCAATACTTTGAGTGATGGTCAAGGAAATTTATTACTTTTGTTAGAAATTTGTTGTTCTTAGTGTTTTTTCTTACATCAGACTAAAATCTGCTTATATATAGTTTGTAAACCTTTATCTTAGAACTGACCTCTGTGGCCACAAAGAACATACTCCTCCATTTTCCCCTCCATTGATAACTCATAAAATATCTGAAGGTGGCTTTTTTTCATGTATTTGCCTGGTTTATTCTTCTCTCAGTTTGGCAATTATAGTTACTGCTTACTTGCTGTGATTTTCAGATACCTTCTCACACAGATTCCTGACTTCTGGGTGTATTCTTGTTCTAGAATGGATAGGTTTCTGATGACTGAACTGTATTTGTATATTCTGTGAGTTTCTGGCATATAATTTGATTAGTCCTGGTTTCTTTAATATTTGAAGTGGGATTTGGAATACTTAAAATCTCCTATTGATAAATAACATTGATTTTCTTTTTCATTTTACTTCAATTTAAAAGACATTTGCAGGAAAAGAGAAATAGTGAAGTCGTTCTGTAGTGTCTCTCATTTGTTTACATTTTTTCCATTTACCTGAAATGTAGGATATATCTTTTATTATTTTTCTTGCTCTAAGCATGGTTAGAAGAAAATCTCTATTTGTTCCTAACATTTACTGTGAGGTATTACTTACTTGGGTCTATTCATATATGGTATTAATAGATGATTTCAGTCAGTAAGTATTTATTGAAAGATGAAAGGCATTCTTTTTTTTTTCTTTTTATAATTTCAGGGTTATGTAGAAATGAAATACAGAAAGAGCCATAAAATGTGTAGGAGGACTGTACATTGACTACACATTATCCCAAAGGAATACAAAACTGCTTAAAAATATTTTAACAAAGAAATAACAGATGTGTTAATAAGAGTTTAACATGGAAATCTATCCTAATAGAGCTTTATCACCAGTGTAAGGAATAAGCTTCCTACTGGGGATAAATATACAAGTAAGATAAATACAGATGGGCGCAAAGTCAGTCACTTCCCTTATTTTATCTCTTCCTTTTCCTCACCCAAAAGACTGACATTTGAAAGAGAATTTTTCTGTATGAAGCCAATCACTCCAATAGAATTCTGAATTTGTATATAGAAAAATAAGAGTTCTTTATTTTCATACTTCGGTTGTATTGGGAATAATACTTCTGTATAGTTTTCAAGAATTTTCCTTGTTAATGCATTCTTTCTATAAACTTTTTTCTCAGGCATATCCTCCTTATCCAAGTTCACCTGTTCAGGTCATCACTGGATATCAGCTGCCTGTTTATAATTACCAGGTAACTTAATAGGGAACAAAATGATTTACTTTGGAATACTATCTGAGTCCTTTATTTATATACATTTATTTTATTGTCATTTAAACTAGTTGAGTATGCGCAAAATAAAGTTAGAATTAGGAATTAGAACCTTTATTTAGAAAAATAAAAACCTTTAGGAAAAAAGGGAATTTTTTTTTAAGATTATATTTATTTATTTATTCATGAGAGAGACCAAGAGAGGCAGAGACCTAGGCAGAGGGAGAAGCAGGCTCAGTGCAGGAAGCCCGATGTGGGACTCGATCCTGGGACTTAGGGATCAGGCCCTGAGCTGAAGGCAGATGCTCATCTGTTGAGCCACCCAGGCATCCCATGGGAATGATCTTTTGAAAAAAATATACTTAGCACAAAGTTTTCTCTTGTACTGTCTTCTAGGATTTGGTGTCCTCTTCTATATTTCAACATACATTCTTCCATTTTTGCTGTCAAATAGCTGAAATGTCCAGATTGACTTTTCAAAGTTTTTCTAGTAGGCTAGATAAAAATAAAATGATTTCTCAGTTCTTAGAGCACTGAATTCCAGTTATATTTGGTAGTGTTTATTCTAGCTGACTACTAGAAGGTGCAGTTCTCTCAGTTTCTACCATAGATATGACTGTATCTATGACCCATAACCATTATCTTTGGTGATAAATTCAGAGAACTATTAAGCCAACACGGAAAATTCAGAAGAAAGTTAGAGTTTGTATGTGAAAGTAACAAACCTTCAGGTATTAGAAACCTAAATTACTTCTTTCTTTCATTGTTTATTCTACTGTAAGTTCAAGGATTCAGCTTGACAAATACCTCAACGTTGTCTTTCACATTTCTGAAAACATGTAGGAATGGTTAACTAATTGTTACTTCCTCTCTCTCTCTCCTTTTTTTTTGTTTGTTTTAAGATGCCACCACAGTGGCCCGCTGGGGAACAAAGGAGTTATGTTATACCCCCGGTAAGGTGAATTAGCCAAACATATACTTCCTTTTATTTATCTTTTATTTTTTTAGAGAGGGGGAGAGAGCAAATGGAGGGGAGAGGCAGAGGGAGAAAGAAACTTAAGGAGGCTCCATGCCCAGTGCGGAGCCAGATGTGGGGCTCAATCTCACAATCCCAAGATCATGACCTGAACCAAAATCAAGAGTTGGACACTTAATGGACTGAGACACCCCTTCCTTTTTCTTATTTTAAAATGTTTTCTTATTTTAATTGTTATAATGTTTCATGGCCTTTTGCCATCACATGTATGCCTAGAAATATTTTTTAATTTCCCTTTCACATTATGTGTTATGTTTTATTAATTTCTTGTCAACCCAAGTATATTCTTCCATGCAAGAAACTGTGCTTTTTGTTTCTCAGGTTGTTCTTATATGCTTAAGCCAATAGCTGCTCTGCATACAACAGGTGCTAAATTATATATAATCCAAGAAAGGTAGTATTAATACCTTTGCTAATTCTAATTCAGTGAATTTGGAATTAGTATTCAATCTGTCTCTATTTTTCTACCCATAAAAAAAATCTGTTGAAGACAAGCGAATGTTTTGTTAATACTGGTATATATTACATGAGAAATAAAACAAGAGGCTGTTATCTCTATTAAACACTTAAGCCTTTGTTACTTTTTATCAGCATTGGACCTTTGAATGATATGAGTTAAAATCCTTAGGCACTGGGAAATTCTCATTCTATTACTACATGTTGGAGTTTCTTTTTCTTAGAGCCCTTCTAATCAGATTTTGTTGAAGTTTGGAAGACTTTTCAAAAGACTGACTTAGTGAATTTCACCTATTCAGTTTAGTTTCTGAAATAATGTAAATTGAACTTCAACACAACCCACCTTTCAATCCTCAGTATGAACTCACTTATTTTGAAGAATATGTTGTTTAGAAATGTATCTAATGTACATCTGTTTATACTTCTGTCATAATGTAGGCTTATACTGCTGTTAATTACCACTGTAATGAAGTTGATCCAGGAGCTGAAGTTCTGCAAAGTGAATGTTCAGTTCATGAAGCTACTCCGTCCTCAGGAAATGGCCCACAAAAGGCAAACATCTAATTTTGTTTATCTTTATATTCTCACAGTTATTTTTTAAGTATTAACAATGGCCCTTTGAGACACAAGCTTCTTTTATCAAATTTAAATATGGAAGCCAAAATTTACAGAGCTCAAGTAACTGACTAATAATTTGGCAGTTTTTGTAAAAATCGATGAAATTTCAGGCACCCCCAAGCTTTCACTGTTTACATATAGTTTCTGATTCAGTCGTCTTTTTCTCTTATATTTGCATTGTTTTTTAAGCCATACTTTAATAACTATTAGCATAACTTGGTGGAATGCAGTAGACAGGTGGGTTTCTTCAAGAATTCTCTCTTCAAAAGAGAGATTAGTATGAATTTACCTTTTTTGTTTTTTTTTTTTTTTTTACCAGTTTAAACATTTACTTAGCTAAGTAATAGTATCCAATTGTTTGTGGCATTCTCTCCATAACATTCATTACATATGATAGCAGCTCTCAAGAGTGGTGGAGTCTGTCTTGATAATTGAAATACTGAAATAGGTGGAGTTGCTTCTTTTTTAATATTAGAACGAATTCCTGACAGTGCTCTCTTCAGTGCTCCTGTTTTCCTTGAATGAGTGGGAATGTGGAAGTAGGTGATGTGGTGGGAATGTGCATAACAACCTTGAAGGTTTCCCATTGGATTGTGTGAACTTTGTCCATGTGTTTCTCAGTGGAAAAAAATGAGAACTGCTGAACTATAGAGTAAAAAAGATTCCTTGATCTGAGTGATGATTAGAATAGTTATAATGACCAGTTCCTGGATATTTTTTCTTGGAATGTTGAAGTTCATTGTTGCTTATCTAATAGGAAAAATTAAAGAGCCTTAAGCAAATATCTGAGGGTTTTACTAAATTGAGCTTTACAATCGATACTTAGGATTCTGAAATATTTTAAAAATTTCATGAAAAGGTACATATTAAGTGACATGTAATTACATGAAAATGTAATGTATTGTGCATTACATTCATAGTCCTTTATGGATTACATTAAGGGTTCTTTAGGGAAAAGTACATGTATTCTATTTTCTTTAAAAAGCTTGTTACAGGGCAGCCTGGGTGGATCAGCCATTTAGCGCCAACTTCAGCCCAGGGTGTGATCCTGGAGACGGGGGATCGAGTCCCACGTTGGGCTCCCTGCATGGAGCCTGCTTCTCCCTCTGCCTGTGTCTCTGTGTCTCTCTCTCTCTCTCTCTCTCTCTGTCTCTCATGAATAAATAAAATCTTTAAAAAAAAAAACCTTGTTACAAAAAATAAAAAGCTTGTTATAGTGAGTAAAAGCTATAATCTTTAGATTACTGAGAAAACTTCCATTTTTTTCAGAAATCTGTGGACAGAAGCATACAGACTGTGGTATCTTGTCTATTTAATCCAGAGAACAGACTGAGAAACTCTCTTGTTACTCAAGATGACTACTTTAAGGTATGAAAAAAATAGTATACAGAATAAAAGGCATATTGTCAGCTATGAAGCATATTTTTTTTCTGTGGTATACACATACATTTTGAGATTATATAGAGCATTTAATTTAACATTAATTGAACATTTTGGCATTTGACTGTAAGTCAAAAAACCTTTGTGAGTGAGTTTTACCTGGCCATGTATTTTATGCTGCTCAAACCTTGATACAGCTTGTCCTTAGGGAAGAAACCTTTAGTAGAAGCTTATAATTGAAAAGGTTTGTGTAATAGAAGAGAGTTGGAAGAGAATATTGGCTTGACAAATGGAAAAAGAGGAAATTTTAGGTTCACAAGGCAGAGAACATACCTTGGATACCACAGGTTCAGTTTCATACCACTGCAATAGGGTGAATATGCAATAAAGTAAGTCAAATGAAATTTTTTCCCAGTACATATAAAAGTTATGTTTACATTGTACTGTAGTCTATGAAGTATGCAATAATAGCATTCTATATAAAAAATACAGTATGCCTATCTTTAATTAAAATATATTTTATTAAAAAAAACAAAAATATATTTTATTGCTAAAAATTGTCATCTGAGCTTTCTCAGAATCACTGATCACAGATTACCATAACAAATAGAATACTAATAATAAAGTGCAAAATATTAAGAGAATTACCAAAATGTAACACGGAGCAATTGCTGGAAAAATGGTGCCAGTAGACCTTCAATGCAAAGCTACAAAACTTTAATTTGTAAAAAATGCCTTATCTATGATATGCAGTAAAATGGGTGACACCTGTGCATGGATATTAAAGAGAAGAAAAGAAATCAATCATCCAGATGACATACTTGAACAATGTAGGGGGAAAAGATGTAAAGTGAAGCAGTGAAAAGAACTGAGTAGAAAATGAAAATTGATTCAGAGTTGGTGAGATGTGGGTGTTTGAATTTAAGAAAGTTCTGGTTTCTGATCCTGGTTCTGTCACATTGGACAAATTACTTAAGTCTTACAAAGGCTCTAGTTTTTACAAGTCTAAAATGAGACATAGGACTAAAGGTTCTTTAGATCTCTTTAATTCTGAGTCTGTGATTATGGAAAGGAACTAACTAGTCACTCTAATAGGGACAAGAATATTGTGATTATTAGTAAAGGGAAATTTGTTTTATAATAAGTTTATTAAGATGTAATCCACGAACCATGCAATAAACCTATTTAAAACAACTCCATTTTTATAGTTATTCAGAGTTGTGCAGTCATGACCACAATTTTGGAATATTTTAATTAGCCCTTCAGCCATTAAGTGGTCACTTTTTATTTCTTCCCAACTCCTCTACCTCTAGAGAACCACTAACTGCTTCTTTTAGAAAGATTTTCCTATTCTGGACATATCATATAAATAGAATAATACAATATGTGGACTTTTTTTGACTGGCTTCTTTCACTTAGCATAATGTTTTTAAGATTCACCTATGTTACAGTGTGTGTAAACACTTTATTTTTATTTATGGACATACCACCCTTTGTTTACTCATCACTTGATAGACAACTTGGGTTGTTTCCACTTTCTGACTCTGATGAGTAATGCTGTGAAAGTTCATGAATAAGTTATTCTGTGGACTTAACGGTTTTATTCCTCTTGGGTATATACCTGGGAATGGAATTAATGAGTAATAATAACTATGTTGAACCTTTTGAGAAATGGCTAGAATTTTTCCAAAATGACTATACCATTTTATATTCAAAGGGGAGTTTTTTAACCATGGCTTTGTGTCTTAAAACAGGGAAAGGAGAATAGCTTTTTTCTATCATTGGATGGACATAGGATGAAACTTACAGTCTTTTTAAAAGGGTATACTAAGGAATTCCTATAATACAGAAGAGTAGAGCCATAGCAGGATTAAGTTCTTAACCATTTTCTCAAGAGAGAAAGTAAAACATATTTCTTTAACGTTGACATTTGTTCTTTTATTGTCTCATTATATACAGACAGTATAATTTAAAAGGAAAGAACTAGGATTGTATGACAGCCTACCTCGCCCAAAGTACTGAAGGTTAAATAGTAACATAAATGATTTGTTTGCAAAGCAGAAAGTAGTCTTTAAACTTGAGTTTTCACCTGATATTAGGCAAAAGCTTCACTTTGAACCTTCAGTTTTCCGTCCCTCTGGGCTAGGAGTCACAAGTTGGTAGTTTGAGGTTGTCTGGTATATACACCTATTTTGATTAGCTAAATGTTACTTGTTGTTTTAATCAAATTTGAATGCATTGAGGAGGGCATACACTGTTTCTTTGTTGTCCTTACATTTTTTTACATCCTACCTTACCTGACTTGCGAAGATACTTGAGTTTGTGACCACTTTTCTGAGCTTTAACTGAAATAGGATATTATCCTATTGACAGATTGCATAATTTCCAAAAGCCACTATTCTTTATATGACAACTGAATTTTAAGTCTCTAGGAAGAGGGCACAGTTAATCTCTTAGAGAAAAGAAAATGTCATCGATGTTATTGGTTCACTCCACTCCATTTGTTTTTTAAGGCCTTACTTCATAATATCTGCACACATTTGCAGGCAACATAAAGTGAAAGGAAAATTTTACATGTATTTTTTATTTATATCCTCATTTCCTAAAGAATGATAGATCTTCATCACAAGTTAAGGATATGCCTTTAAATATGCCCAAGCTTTTATTTTTTAAACTAAAAACAGCATTTCAGTTTGAAGTGATGTGCTGTATTCAAGCTATGATTTCTACCAGATGCACTTGTTAGTAAAAACAGTACTTTTAAAAATTATGTTTTCCACCAGCTGTCTCTGGGGCATCACTGCCAGATCATTAATTAAGAATCTTCATAAAATGATACTGACTCCAAGTCCTCTGTTTCTGAGTTTACTGAGATTTCTTTTTAAATTAAATTGTTGAATAAAACTAGTCATTGATACATTTGTTATCTTAAAAGTTCAGGAAGACTTCTCAGAAAGGATCACTTTTCTCTTATTTATAGTTTTAAAAACCCAAAATAAATGCTTTAAATATTTTGCAACTATCATAGTGATAATAATTTTCAGTGAAGTAAAAAGGACTGTTTCTGTTTTTTTCTAGGATAAAAGAGTGCATCACTTTAGAAGAAGTCGGGCAGTGCTTAAATCTGTGTGATCCACTTTGCTAACTTTCTAGTCTCATGGGAAGTTGCTCGTTTTGAATATTAAGAAGAGACTGAAAGTTTTCACTATTACAGAAATTTAATTCTGAATTTTGACCAATCACACTCAGACTTTCTTATAGAAGTTGTATTAGATTGCCTAGTTTTACTTTACATTGAAACTGTTCTTCATTAGATGTTTATTTAGAAACTGGTTCTGTATTCAATATATAGTTGAAAGTAAAAAATAATTGAGACTGAAAGGAATAACTAACATTTATCTGTAAGGATTTTTTTTTATTGAAATTGACATTTTAAGAGTTTAAAAGCAATTGCTGATTTTCAGGAAATTATTTTAGAAAACCTATTTTGAAAGGTCAGAATTTTGATATTTTGAATTCAAGCATTTCACTTCTCTGACAAGTACCTGTGAACAGTACGCTATTTACAGTATTCTTTACATTTATGATTTGTCTCGAAATTTACCACAAAAGCAGTTTGTAAAACTGTATTTTTAATCAGTGGAACTCAATATATAGTTAGCCTTATTGAAGTCTTTCTTGTCTAAACCCAGTAAAAGATTCTAAACAAACAGTCCAATCAGTGGGTCTTATGGTTATTAGTTCAAAATACTTGTCTTTTTATCTAGATTCCAAACATAGATATCCTATTTGATTGGGATGATAATTAGGATAACTAAAATTCTGAGCCTAATTTTTTTAAAGAATCCAAAACAAACTAAACTTTACTAAGTACGTAAGCTTCTCAGTGAGTTACCATTCTCCTTTTATCTTTTAATTCTTTTCCCTTGAAATGCTAAACTCAATGGCTGTATCTTAAATTGTGCAAAATACTGGTATTAAAGAATGCTGAAACTTTTTTTATGTTGCTTAAAGGTTAATCAGAGTACCTGAAAGGAATTGTTTCTATAAAAACATTAAAATATTAGTTATTTGTTAAAGAGCAAATAGATTTTATTTTTGCTTGTTAGTCTATTTCCTTTTTTAAAGTAAAATATGTTTAGAAGAGTCAAAGTAGTTGTGTTTCAAAACCACTAAAGTTGTGTGTATCTCAAGAACATAACTAGAGCAGAGTTAACAATCATTTCTAGATTAGATAGTCTCCTTGTTAAATTGTGACAGATAACTAGAGCCTCTTTGCTGTCCCTCCAGTCTTGATTTTTTCAGTTGGTGGCACCATTCTTCTAGAGATTTGCTCCTAGAATAGGTGATACAGAGAAGAGAAGTAGCAACATGAACAGTTTGAGGGCTAAGCCTTGGAAAGGTGACAATGGGATAAAACCTTTCTAAGGGAAACACTTGTATCAGCATCATTTGACCTGCCATTGAAATGAGTTTAAAGTGGCTTCTTAGCCTTTCTTTTCATTGGTCCCTTCACTAAAACATGGAGACTCCATTTAGCCCTAATATAAGGCAACTACCATGGGCCATATCATCAGTCCCCATAGTTGTTTTATAGTCCCCAATAATTCTTACTCTGAATCTGAAGAGAAGAATCTTTTTGCTTAAGGATCCCCAAGAAGACTTTCTCATGCCTCAGAATTTGAAAATGCCCTGAAATTTGTCCTTTAAAAAATTCTCCACACTTTTTATTGGGTGTGCTGTAACATTCTTACACGTATCATTCTGTGATTAAATTTCCAAGCTACTCTAAATGGTACCTAAATTTGAAAGAGCCTATTCTAATTATCCTAGTATGACCTTAAGAAAAGTAAGAGAATAAACTTTATTTTTCTGCTTTTTTGTTGGACTTGAAGTATTTAAAACAAAAAAGAGACAAAAGTCCTGAACCTTTCAAAATGGAAAATTAATTTTAAACTTACAAGAATGTTCTTATTACATATTGTTGATACTGTCTTTGCATAAATGAATAAATAGAAATAAAGATACTTTTTTTCCCAAAAACATTTTCAACCTATTTATTATTGTCATTATCTAAAGAGATGGTGGGGAATTTGGTAGGTAGTCATGCGACAAGGTTTAGATCCTTGAAATTCAAAAGTGTAAATATTTTTGTATATATTAATCTGGTGGAGTTTGTTTTTGAGAGCAAATGTTGGTACATTGCACTTTATTGCTTTCTCATGAAATTAAGACCTAGGTTTTCATGAGAAAATAATCCCTTTTAGGTTGAGTTGGAAATGTTAACCAGTGGGTTCCAGTGCCATGCATTAACAGAGCAGTGCCTACTGGGAATGCTGTTGAGTCATATGTGACTAGTTTCATGGCCAAGGTCCCTCTCATTTTGGACTCTAAATATTTTGTATACTGCATACTTTGGACCTCACCTCTGTGACCCTCATTTGAGAGTATTGCAGTTGTCAGTGATAGAGCTTAAATTTTTCATACTGTATTTATTTCATATGACGGTGTATCCAAAAGATCATTACTCACTACCTCTTCCAGTTCAAGCTCCGGTATACCCAGTTGTATAAGCTGAGGCCAAAGAGAAGAAATTCTGCCCTTTGGACACTTTAATGTGATATTTTATAACTGTCGCATGATTAGAAAGTGGATATTGATCTTGTTTCTCTAAGATAAAACAGAATGCCTTCTGAATCACCAAAGATTAAGTTTTGATGTTTAAAGTATAACAATCTGGGACGCTTGGGTGACTCAGTGGTTGGGTGTCTGCTTTCGGCTCAGGGTGTGATCCTGGGGTCCCTGGATCGAGTCCTGCATTGGGCTCCTTGCATGGAGCTTGCTTCTTCCTCTGCCTGTGTCTCTGCCTCTCTCTTTGTGTCTCTCATGAATAAATAAAATCTTTAAAAAATAAAGTATAATAATCTGCTAAAGATTAGTAGTCCTGAAATGTACATGTGTATACACATACATGTATACTGAACATTTTCCAGAATATTTGATCAGCCCTGACCAAGCTAAATAACTATAAAATTTTTAGACCCTAAAACTAGACCATATATATCCTTAAACAGTTGTTTTAAACCTGCTTGAGGGATGCCTGGGTGGTTCAGCAGTTGACTGTCTGCCTTTGGCTCAGAGTGTGATTCCAAGGTCTGGAGATGGGAGTCCTGCATCGGGCTCCTTGTGAGGAGCCTGCTTCTCCCTCTGGCTATGTCTCTGCCTCTCTCTGTCTCATGAATAAATTTTTAAAAATCTTTTTAAAAACCTGCTTGAGGGATCCCTGGGTGGCGCAGCGGTTTGGCGCCTGCCTTTGGCCCAGGGCGCGATCCTGGAGACCCGGGATTGAATCCCACATCGGGCTCCCGGTGCATGGAGCCTGCTTCTCCTTCTGCCTATGTCTCTGCCCCTCTCTCTCTCTCTCTCTCTCTCTCTCTCTGTGTGTGTGTGTGACTATCATAAATAAATAAAAATTAAAAAAAAAAACCTGCTTGATATTTTAAGCATATTTGCAAGTTGAGGATTTCCTCAAAATTCTCAATACAGAACCAAGTCTTTGGGATTGAAAAAGATTTCATACAGCACTTTTTATTTATTTATTTTTTGGTAAAAAGTTGCAAGTTATGACAAGTGATACCAAAAAGATTGGTCACCTGGTAAGAAGTATATTGTGTGCTTTTTCCTCCTAAGAACATGTAACTTTTGTATTGTTTAAAATAATTATTTAATACTGATTAGCAAACTTGAACTGCAAGGAATTTGTTTGCTTTCAAAAATAAATACAGCAGTTCCTTGTAGTTCTAAAGCCCTCTATCCACTTCTCTAAAATTCTCTTGGTTGTCTTTAAAGGTAAATGCATAAAAATGGGCTGCCACATTGCTTAATCGTCTTGCCTGTTTTCATTACTGTCGTTTGAGGGTAATAAGGAGTAGCAGCTATAAGGCAGTGTGCCAGTCTGCTTTCGCAAAGATGACAATAGAGAGGGTGGGGAACCATAAGGGGGAGAAAAGTGGCAATGTTTTCCATTGACCAAATCTTGCAAATAGGCCCAGCTGTTGAGTATGATCATTTGGTATCCCTGAAACACTTCTTCTAGATGAGGATTGCTCCTGTACATATTTGATAACTGTATAATCTAGCTCTTCCCGACATTACGTGTAATACGTCTGTGTAACTGAATCTTTTTGAGCAATTCCTCACCACCCATCATCAAAGACTCTGAGTTTTCCATCTGTAGATAGTACATTCGGTAGTAGAAAACAATAAACATAAGAAGTTCAAACTATAAACATGCGTTTTTGAATGCTCGTGCAAAATATTCAATCTGCGTAGCAAAGAAATGATAGGTAATTCTGCATTGCATTTAGAGTTAAAAACATCTGTCCAATATGGCTGTAGCTGTGGGCCAATCCCACAGAAATGCAAAAAATTGTCTCTTGATACAGAACTTGAAACTAACACTGTACAGTTAAGCTCTATGGTAGCTATATTTTATGTTTTTAACTGGTCTGAAACAGAAACTTTTCCACTTGAGTCTCTAGTTCATTTTCCCAAGGCACATGGAGGCTTTGTATCTCATGTGTACCTCCATTAAGGCTGCGTGCCAGGAATATGCCTTTTCCTGCATAAAATTCCCAGATACCAGTCCATCAGGTCTTTAACAACAGAACAAATGCTTGCATAACTGGGATATTGGGGTCATGAAAGCTCTTTGTAAATTTGAAGCAATAGTAACATTTCATGCGGTTCAGAAAGTTAGAAGTTTTATAATCCTTAATCAGTTCTTTTTATAGAAAACAAGTTTAGCAGAAGTACATAAAGGTTCTAATCACATCTATTGCCTTTCCCCAAAATAAAATGAATAGAAACATACACTGTTCTGGCTCAATCTTGGGTGAAACTATTTACTGTAGAAGAAAGTCAGGGTTGACAAGTCAACTGATGTGTCTGGTATGGCCAGATTAACGATTTACAGTGAAGTGATCCCCTCAGTCCTTGCAAACACTTGTTAAAAAATTTTAATATTACCAATCTACCATCATCCCCCCAGAATAAATTGCTGGACTAGTGGGAATGGAGAGAAATAATATAAAATGCAGAGGCCATGGTATCCCTGGGTGGCTCAGCAGTTT